ACGAGTGGTTTCACCACTGCCTTCTTTAAAGATGCTGGGATGGTCCTTGAAGGTGATGACTGGAGATCTTCCAGTATTATTTCTGTAAATGCATAGAAGCCCTCGGGAATAGGTAATTCGCATCAGTGGCTTCCCCATTATTGTGCTCTTAATAAATTATTCCATCCATACATGGAATGTTGCCAAAAAGTTCTATAAATCCTCTATTCTCCTTACACAAGAGGATGGATCTTAAATGGATGAAAATAATCTGGGGTTCCATTTAGTACATGTAGAGTTCAATCATATGTTTTGCTGACATAGGAAAGCTTTAGGATAATTATTACTTGTCTGAGATATGTATCGTCCTATGAAATGCAATATGGATATCTCTTCAGCGAGTATTTCATTCTCCAAGAGCATGTACACATAATGCTCATAATTCATCTTTCCTCATAGACCAGAGTGGGTATTGATCATATAACCAATTAAAAAGTGCACAATGAATATAATAACTATATGTAACAGCTGTAGATTTTAATGCTAAACTTCAGTCAAAGTTCAGTGATCCTCAATACCTTTGTCCTTGCATATTGTGTACTATTACTTTGATCATATTTGTTGTATTTTTGTGGTAAGAGTTTTTCATTCTTATCTGGATGAACACTGGGAACACTGAAGTCTGTGAAGTCCATATCCCCAGTATTTCTTTCCATCAGCAATCCTCTGGTTCCCTGAAGCCCCCACTGAAAACAGAAAGCATTCTGCTCAGTTAGGATGAGGAGAACACAACAAACCACAGAAAATAACCAACCTATTAATGAGAGGAAGATTTGCTCTGTCGGACATCTGAGATGGAGCCTTCCATGGTGCATCCCATACTGGTCCAAGGGGGCCATGATACTTAGGAACAAGTTTGTTTGTTTGCTTAAGGGGGCTGCAGCAAGAAAGAGGGCAGGACTGTTCCATGCTATGACCACCATTTCACAGGTCAGTTCTTACATGGAACATACACACACACACACACACACACTTTATATTATTTTATGCTGGTAATAGCCTTACATTTCTGGTTAATTTGACAGTGAATATGAATAAATGCAACTGCTTTAGGACTTCAGTATCACATACATCAATTAGAAAGGCATTTCTAGGAGGACATTTCTGCAGGTGGAAGAGACAAGATGACTTTTCATTGTAGACCCCTGCACTTTACTTACAAATGAAGAATTCTAGGGTGTGGTAGATTGAAGCAGCACAGAGAGATTGAAAGGTTCCATTCCATGATATGTTTCATGGTACATTGGGCCCTTTTAAATGGATTTCATGATCACCTCTGCCCCAAATGATAAGAAGTTACAAGAGATAGCCGAATTAATTCTGAGGGAATGAAATGATACTATATATGTAGGAGTCCTGATCCAGCAACAACCACAAGTAGCTGGTCACATTCTACAGTTGATGGCTTTTGAATCTCAACTGGATTCACTTCAAAAGGCACATCCACACAGTTGAATAGGATCTGAATGCAAGCTGTGATTAAGTTGCCCCCCAAGCCGGAATAAAGAGACGGACATGAAGTGTTGGATTAACTATAGGGCCACTTTATTAACAATCAACTTAAACTGGGACTAACGGCAAGGGTAATACAGTTTTGCGGTACAGTCAAGGCCAGGGGTTGAACAACCCCTCCCTTGCCATGTGAAATAGAGTGAGCCACCCTGCCCCAAGCGACTCCCGCCCAGCCAGCTAGCTGATGTAGGACAGCCACATAGACCCATCCCCCGGGCCACAGGGCCCAAAGGGAGGACCCAATGAGGGCTGTCCTAAAGGCAGTCTGTTTTCCCCACCCCATGCCGCCAGGCATAAAGCCTGTACTGACTCAACCCCTTCATCCCCAAAGAAGGGGTGTCAGTTGGTGCTCACCAGACCGCAACTTGTCTCAGCATAAAACCCTGCCCAACTATAAGTGACCAGGCCTAACTAACACAGCTCCATCCTTACAACAACCTTGCACCACTGCTGCAGTACAGGGTAGGCAAAAACACCCCCTCCCAGATTCCAATCAGGAAGGGGCAAAAAATTCCTACCCGGCCTCCAAAACCAGGCGACCAGCCAAAGCCTGTACTGCTAACAGGGTGGGAGGATGGGCAGAAATTTGCTGTGTAAATGCGGCCGAGGAGGGTGGGGGCCGACTTATAAGCTCACTGGCCCCACCCCCCGCAGGGACCCGTATGCGGCACGTTTGCTGCAAAAATCAACGTCCCGCCTCTCCAGCTGGGCAGCAACGGTGCCTCGTCAGCCCCATGGCCGCAAGGGCCGGGGGCTGTTCGAAATGGAATATATGTGCATCCAGATGTTTATCCATATCAGGAATGTGTGCAGAAAGACTACATACACATGTTAATCTACCTTGCTGAATGGAACAATACTGTTATTTTAGTATTGTTCTGTTTCCTAATGCACCAACCGAGCATGGGAAGTACCCAAATAGAGAGTGCTTATCTTTAAATCAACTTCAGTTTCATTAAAAGCAAAAAACATCCCCTCTATACACTGATATAGCAACTGCTAGGTAAATTCATGTTGCCAAATTGTGTATTCCCATCCAACCAGAAATAGTCAATGCTCATTTGAACAAACATCTTCTTGTCATTAGTACCTCTCAAGAGCTAAAGCCTGAAATAATTTAATCTCATTTGATGGCTATAGAAATATTTTCAGGGAAAAACTCAGACAATTGAACAGCATCTAAAAATATACTGGAGTGTATCTGTAACACTTCGTTCAGCAAAGTTTAAAGCCTTCCTCCAACCTAAGAACCTTTCCCCAATTTAAGTGACCCTTCTACCAGAAGAAGAGATTCTTGAGGAACCATCCTTAGGCTGTGAAGAAGGGTCCTTAGGCAAGAAACACTTTGCTAAGGAAAATATTCGTCTCTCTGTGACAGTAAAACAAGTATTTTCACTTATCAAATGAAAAATAAAATAAAATTCAAAGGAATTATTATTGAATAACCAAGCTTAATTATTTTTCACAGCAGTCATTCAAGTAACCATTGATTATAACTGAATATTGAAAGTAACCATATTACTTATTAAGGAAATGTATATGTTGCTTCTCTAGAGATCTGCTCTTACATAGTGAACCATTTCTATTGCTTCATTTCAAGTATTCCTTGTATTCAGAGAGGTCTCCATTAGATCTGTATATACTTTGCCTGCCCACCCCTCGAATAAAATATGTTAAATTGGGAATTTGCAGTGTGCTGGGTTGCATTGTGCTTACAGAGCAATCCTCCTAACAGGGCAAACCCACCTCAGCTCAGAGCCAGGTGCAGGGTCCTTCTGGACCTTCGTCATGGCCTGCACACCAGTGCATAGAGGAAAGAGAGAACATGTTCCAGCCCATGACTGCAAAGCCGTAAGGCTCCATATGCTTTCCCAACCCGGAAGAGGCCCCCAGCTGAGTCACACTGACTGCAAAGCTTGAGGACACAAAGTTTGAGGACACACACACACCCCCGGCATGCCACAGCCACTGGCTTCTGCAGCCCTAAGCATGAGGAGCCTGTGAACTGGCATAAACTGACCACCATGGCCTGAAGCCATATGCTGAACAAGCCCAATAACAGGCCCCAGGGCCCCAGTTGTGGCTGTGGGTCTCCTGCCGCCCAAAGGGGAGGCACCTTGCTGGGGAGACCTGGCTGGATGAAAGTAGGGGAGGTGGGTGCCAGCCACCTAACCACTGACACTTTGTGTGCTGTGGAGGCCAACAGCGGGTGCCAGTCACTTGACAGCAGAAGGCCCAATCTTCCCTGACCTTCCTGGGGCTCTCCCTGCATCCTCCTGTGCCAGAGTCAAACCTAGCCTGCTGGAGCAGGCTCACACCCACAGACAGATCTTCCAAGTGCGAGGGCTCCATGTGGCCAGCCATCAAACTGAGGAGGGAGGGCCACCGTTGCCAGACCTGGCTGACAAGCCATCCCTCAATTGGCCAGTGCTCCTGCGCTGAGCTCCAATTGGGTCGCCCCACCCTCGTGTTTCCTCTGAGGAGTTGGGGGCAGGAAAAAGTCTGTGCCTGTTCCATGGGCAGGCACCAGTCATTCATGATATTATTAATTCAATCCTAAGAAACAAAAATGAGTCCTGAACATTTACGAGCATAGTATTACATTAATATCTATTCAAATTTTACTTTCTTTTAAAATTAATCTTATTTCATTCACATAACAGCTCAAAGAAAGGAACAAATCCCATGTTACAGTATACTGAAAGGTTGCCACCAGAATATTATTATAGATTGGACCAAATAGACTCCTAGGAAGTGAGTGCCTGCCTGTCTGGGGAGAGAACATTTAATCAAAGGCAGAGTTGTTGCCACCTGCTCTGCCCTAACTACTGGGACTATAAAGGAAGCTGCCTTCTAGAAATGAGGGAAGGAAGTACTTTCTGCCTACCTGGGGAGAGGATGTTTCTTCAAGGGCAGAATTGTTGCCTCATGCTGTGCCTTATGAAATAGTTTGCTAATGGCAAGTATTAATTGTGAAAGTTGATTGTCTTTTGTGTGTTTTGTTTATTCTAAGCACTTTGGGTCTATATTGGATAGAAAAAAGAGGTTAAAATATCCAAAAATATAAATAAATAGTACAAGCCAAAGGCCCTTCTGCCAATACAAAAGCCTCTCTGAAAAAAAAACTGCTGATCACTCCTTTCCGCTGTAGTCCCTTGCAAAGTATCAAGCACTTTTCTAAAGGGTGCCTCAACATTCAAAATGCTTTTGGGAAAAACACTGGAAGAGAAGGAAGCTAGTAAATATCATGCTGTAAACAGAACTCTACTTGTGGTTATTAAGGTTGATTCCTTGACTGGTTTAATTCAGAAAGCTACTCTGTCGTTGTTGTTGTTTTTAACCTGAATCACTTAAATACAAAACAGCACTTCACATAACGATAACTTTGCCATTAATAATTACTCTTTTTCTTTGCAGTACTTTGAAATTTAAAAAAAAATAGAACTTACATTCAATATCAAGGTACATGCTCTTTTGATGCCCACCAATTCTACTTGCAGCTTCACAGTCATATCTCCCTGAATCTGACAACTTCACATCTTTAATGTGCAGTGACGACCTTCCATGCTGCCCTTTGACTTCTATATGGCCATCTGGGCTCTGTTTACAGTGATTCAGGAAAAAGAAAGTATTTTGTTATGTATTATATGTTAAACATTATTGTTAATTACATACAAACATAAGATCCTGGTAGTGAAGCATTTTTTTGGGGCAACATGTGTGTTGCATATTTTGAAAACAAAATTAGAATTGTTTGTAGTGTTGCCAACTCCAGCTTGTGAAATTTCTGGAGATTTGGGGGTAGAAGCTAGGGAAGGTACCGTTTAGGGAGGAGAAAGAGCTCAGTGGGGATGAAATTCCATAGAGTGAAGCTGCCATTGATCTCTATAGCCTTGAGATCACCTGTAATTCTGGGAGAACTCCAGGACCCATCTGGAGGATGGAAACACTAATTGCTTGTGTAAAAATAATATGAAGACAGCTGAACCTATTTTGCATTTTTACAATGTCTTAAGGAAGATTTTAAAAACTAAGTAACAGTATTCTATTGAGTAATATGGTATGAAATATTAGTTTTCAAATAATTCAGTTTTCATTTCACACAGTTTTCCAAAATTCTTATAGTTCTTTAAGGTCCTCTTGAATGTTTACAGCATCTTTGGCAGTACAAGTTGTGTGGTTTAGGATGTAACCTGGAGATCTCCCACTATTAGAACTGATCTCCAGATGACCAAGATCAGTTCCCTCGATACTTTGGAGGGCGGACTCTATGGCATTATACTCTGGTGAGGTCCCTCCACCTCCCCAATCCCCACCCTTCCCAGGCTCCACCCCCTAAACCCCCAGGTATTTCCCAACCCAGAGCTGGCAACCCTATTTAGGCCTGTATGTATATGAAATATAAATGCAAGCTCTGTGTCACACATTATACTTTATATGTGAGGAGAAGAAGCTTGCAAAGCTTGATGTCTGTTATCACTTTGTACATTTAAAAAAAATGATGTTATGTTCATGAGGAAACTGGCAGTCTTTGTTGTTGTTACTAAAGCAGAATGTACATACGATATAATGAAAAAGGTATAAAACTGGGTTCCTTAAAATCATAATGCTTTTCTTTAAAAATGTTTATATTCAATCTTTTTGATTAAAAAAAAATACTCCTGTTGTATTGCCATTACAAAGTTTGGGAAACACAACATACACAGTTCATTTTATTATCTTACACATTCCCATAACTATGAAAGGACAATATTGCTAGAATTAAATAAAAGGCAATAGATACAATTGTATATGTTAGGCAGACTAAAGTCTCATTAATGAAACTTAGGGTGCTATGTTAAAGTGGGAATAAGTTCCATTGAATAATATGAGACTTACTTCTGAAAATATCTGCTTAGAAGTACCCCCTAAGTCTGACAAATTTGAAATGTACAATATTTACATATGTTTAACTTTTTCTCAGTTGTTATCTTTGTAGAGCACACACACACCACCACCACCACCACCATCACAAGGTTTGCTATAAGACCTCCTAAATTTTATCTCATCAGGTAACTCACATGACCTTTTTTAACAGTCAATTCCTCTCTAAGCATCATTTTTTTTACACCGTGCAAAATACAGATAGGAGTCCCCTGGGTATTGCTGGCAATTATTTATCTTGCAATAAATAATCAATGACTTATTCTGAACTCTTGCTGCTAGCAATCCTGCATACTGTCTGAAGAACTGAGCCTGAAAATCTAATACAATTATCATGTTTTAGAAACTATACAACATAGATCACAAGCTATCTATATCAATATGTCAAACATCCATTCAATATCTGTACACGGGTTTGGATTGTACATATATTTCCTTTTTGTGGAAGGTAATTCTACTAGTGAAGAAAGAAACAATTCTGCAGATTCCCTACTTCAGACTTCAACATTTGCCACCCAAGCTATTTCTAGGATTCTAATGACCTATTCTGTTTTTTTTAGGATTCCAGAATTCAAAATTGGATCCAGCTAATTGTTTTATCAGTATCTAAAATTAAAGAAAACATCTCTCTGAATCAGCAATAAATAATTTTAGTTAATTATTACAATTCGTTACAGAAAATAATGCACATACTAAAGATAGGAGCGTGTATTTCTTGTGGGTTGTTTGTTTGTTTTGGAGTGGGGAATATTCAATGTGGTCAGAGGCCAAAGTCAGAGGCTCCTGAAGTTTTCTCCCTAAAATCTGACATTGGTCGTTCGAACACATTTTAGCTGGCCATTTGGCGCTTGTAATTTTTAGTGTTCAGTGCTTCCCAACTGACTGCTACGTCCCCCAATGTGCCATCTGTGTACAGTCATTGAACAATTAATGATTAAATTCATTGAAAAATGCATGTGAAAACTGCAAACTGACTGCTAAAGTGCTTTCCTTTAAACCAAAAATTTCCCAAAAAATGGAATTAACTTCTTCCCTTTCTTCCTAATTTATAGAAATAATGTTTAACCAATAGGTTAATAAAAGTAATTCTTTTTATCTATATGATTTCTTAGCATTCTGAAAAAGGAAGGTTAACATAATTTAAATAAATGAACTGAAAAAATAGTAAAGCAAAATTCCCCTTATAAAGGCACGTAAGAAAACAGTAATGGAGGATAAAATTTAGGTGAAACAGTGAGAATGAAAAGCTTGCAGATGACAACAACTTGTTCAAAAGAGGTAAACTCTCCAACCGGCTAATTCTTTTTATTTCTAAAATGAAATGTTGCCTCTTCAAAGAATGAATATCCTCTTTTCCTGTAGCCTTGAGCTCTTCTTATCACCCAATTTACAATGTAAGACACATTTGCCAATCACTGAATAATTACTATAAGAATAGAATGATCAAAAGTTAGGGCTGCCTTTGGGGAGAGGCACAACAAAACCAAACAAAAACTACTTAATCCCAAACTGCTGAACAACAGGCATCAGTACTGTCGACTGTTTTTCTATCAAAGATTGTCATTAAATTGATCAAGGTCAGCAGTAGAGATTTTGTCTTTTAGGGGTTTGTTTTTCTTTTTTAAGCACACATTCAACCACCAAAGGACAAGTTGGACCAATTAAATCCTTCTGCATCCTTAGCAACTTTGACAGCTGTTTACAGTAGAAAAATCCTAAAACCAAATAACAATCCATACATCCAAATAAAACAGAACAATTGGCATTACCTTGCGCTCTACTCATTGGCTGTGTAAAGGTGATTTGAGACAATGTTGGGATGCAGTAATCTGAGTTTTATGCCACTGCTGTTGCTGCTCAGCCAAACAAGGCAGGGTAACAGCACGGGATTTAACAGTGCCTGCCTATCTAAGCAATGGCATGCTGTCTCTGCAGTTGTGGAATCCTGACCTCTTCTTCCAATATGACAATGCAATATTACCCAGTAGCAATCTCTTACTTTCCAAAGGAAAGTGATATAATGCCATAGGATTCACAGTCCAGGGGAAGTTATCTCTGTAGTCTGGAGATCGACTGCTATTCCAGGAGATCTACAGACCCTACCTGGAGGTTGGCTGCCCTAGATCCAAACTGGGATTTGCTAGAGAAGGAAATATAGAGACATATGCTTTGAGGCATAAAAGGAATTGGCAAGGAGATCTTTAAGTAGGAATCTATGTTGCAAATAGCCATTTAAAACTTTTGGCCCTATTATAATTAAATTAAATACAACAACCACAACTCTCTGCATTCAATCTGAGGTGCGATAGTTATAATAGATAAAATTCAGTAAAAAAGCTAGCTGCTTCCTGAGGTCCTGTATGCAAAACAAGATTATTCTCTTTTATTTTAAACCAATACTTGAATTTAAACAATGCTAAATAATAATAATCTCAATAGGGTACTTCTATAATTAAAGTTTATTATGCTGATTCAGCATACTGCAGCAATTCAAAATAATGTAGAATGCCAAAATTATTGGGAAAGGAATAGCAAATAGAAACAAATAATATATTATACCCTTTTTGGAAATGTAGTTCTCTCCTGCAGCCGATAATTTCACATATGCTATTTTATTGAAAGTTTCAATATAGAGAATATGGTTATCTTGTTTTGAACATATGCCACTTGTACATTTGAGCATTCATTGTCTATTTGGATAGTTTTTAAAAAAAACTAGCATTTTTATGTGCTTTTATTTTCAGCTGAGTCATTCTGTATATAAATGTGTTTTCGCATGGCAACATTCTATACTTGCCAGAATCAGTTGGCTGCCTGACCTGCCCATCAGAAGGTATGCCTGAGTCCCGCGGGGCCTGTCTGGGGGGGAGGGGGAGGCCTGCGGCTGGCCTACCTGTTTCCCTGAAACCATCCAGCCCTAAACTATCTTGCGGGAAAACATTCCTCAGCCACACTTATCTACTATAAATGACAATTTTCTAAACTATAGACATTTCACAACAGTCATTTCCGAAGACTCCTCCTTCTCATTCCCACATAACCTACTGAGACTTTCATCACGACCACTCACTTTCAACCCACCTTCCCTTGAGACCTCTGCTCTAACAGGATGGACAGTGCAACCACAAGCACATTGAATGATATGGACATCCAACATGAAATGACTTCGCAGACTGTTGTTGACACTACTCCATAGACCCCTGTGTGCAATATTTTCTGGTCCACATTGTATGACCTTGGACACCGGCTATTGTGTAACATAAGGTATGTGAGACTTTACTTCCACATTTGTATCTTTCACTTCCAAACTGCTAATATTTACTTTACCTCCTTCCAGCCTATGCATTCGTTACACATCACATCTTTCTAGAGCTCGTTGTATTGCTTTCTCAATGGGCTTCTAGTTTAAAAATAACTGCCTTTTTTTTAAGAACATAAAGATCCCTAGAGGATTAGACCAATGGTCCATCTAGTCCAGCATCCTGTCTCACACAGTGGCCAACCAGTTCCTCTGGATAGCCAACAACAGGGCATAGAGGCTGAGGCCTTCCTCTGATGTTGCCTCCTGGTTCTGAGATTCAGAAGCTTCATGTCTCTGAATGTGGAGATCCACCTCAGTCGCCATGGCTAGTAGCCATTGATAGACTTTTCCTCCATAAATCTACCTAATCCCCTTT